TTTTGGTGTGGTTCCACACAAATTTTCAAGTTGGTCAGATACTTTTGCACTAGTACTGTAACTTCGCCCAGGGTGTGTGCCAGGGTGCGAGGGTACGGCGGACCATTATTGGGTTGGCGCCACATCCAAAATTTCGCCCCCCGCAGCTCCTGCCGATCATTCCATCCCAACTTCACACCACATAGAATTGCGTACGAAGATTCAATTGATTGATTTCAATGACTATTTACAAGCTTGCTTGGCTTCGCCTCTCGGCTACTAGTCCCAGACACTGCGTAGAAGTGCAAGCTTATCGTCTGAGTGCCGTACACATCCCGTACGACTAGGCAAGTGCTGGTGCTAATGTGTATAAAACAAAAGAATAAGAAATCATATATACCCTATTCTATAATAATAGGATAATCTGCCGCCACCCCAGGGCCTTCTATAGCCCGCGAGGTGTCTTGTTGCCGTACAGCAGGCTTCACATCCTCATTTTCATCGTTATTATCGTCCGAAGACGATGATTCTGAATCCAACGAGATTACTGTTGGAAAATGACAATGAACAGCAGCATCAGGCCACTTACAGTTGCCACAACACCCACCGAAGTGTCCTTGTACGTGACGACACTCCGGAAACGGGCCTTTTCCTCTTGCACATCTTGTGCAAGGAGGATTCTATACGAATCCTCGAGATTGTATGAGAAGCGCATTGATGTACGACGCGCGGTGCATAAGAATTTGTTGAGGTCTAATACGGCCAAGATAATAGGCCACATCTTGCCCAATCATCGCAAGCACCGCAACACCCTGCGGGCTATGGATGAACTGGGCCAAAAGTTGGCCACCAATCGGCAGAGGAGTTGGTGCTTATATCAGTTGACCCTAGGGGGCGGCAGGGGCAGCATTGACGGCGGCGACTACGGCGTTGTACAAAACAAGAGCCCTATATACTATGAGACTTTCGTACGGAGGTATTTTTTCTTATATGAAGATGCTCACATTAAGGAGGAGGAGGTGGTGGTGGTTGTTTTAAGAGAGTTGTCAATGAAATTCAAATGAAAGAAAGAAGAAAGTTTGTACGATGTTGTTGTTGTTGTCGTTGTTATTGTTGTTGTTGCTGCTATTATATATCAGCTGTCAGACTCGTACGAAGTTTAAGAGGATAAGAATCATACGTACTTGCTGTGGTGGTGGTGGTTGTGATTAAAGTTCAAAATTTGAAGTGAGAAGAAGATCTTATATATAAGTGGCGACTCTCGTGAGATCTTGACGCGAACTCACATCCGTACGCAATTCACTGACATTTAGAACTATTATATTGTCTATTGTGCTATTGAATGATCGTACGACAATACTATCAAGCTATTGAAAGCAAAGAATATTAAGAATGATGAGATTTGACTGTATATTGATATAGTCAACTTCGATAGTGTTGAAATCCATCGGCATCAATATTGAATTCGTACGAAGACTTTCTACTTCGTTTCTGTTTCTGCCTCTACCTCCTTTTGCATAAGTCGTTGACGTCTCGTACGACGTGCTGAAGGAGAAGGAGGAGAGTGTTGTGGCTTGGTTTTAGAAACAGCTTCTCTCCTTATCGTCTCAAGAGATGGCAAGCTCTCTTCGGACTCTCTCGTATTCTGTGAAGTCGTACGTTGGTGAGAGGGAGGAGATGTTGATGCACTGTTCTGAAATTGTTCAGATTCGTACGAAACTGATTTGTTGTTTTGAACTTGCTTTGCTTCTTCTTGCTTGATTTCCTGCTTGATTTCCTGCTTGATTTCCTTCTTGACTTCCTTCTTGATTGCTTTCTTCTTCTTGGTTGATGGTTCTCGTTTGATAGATGGTAATTCTATCGTTGAATCATCTTCGTATAATGATTCAAGGTCTTTTTGTTCCAGCACGATATGAATCGTGTAATCTTTGTTGTTGATAGTGAAGAACTCAAGGAGTTCTTTGATCGTACGAAGTTGAAGAGCACAATTTGGAAGATCAATAGGATTCTCCTTCTTGTTTGAGGTGACACTTGTTGCCAGATAAACATGATCACTCTTCGTACAAGCAAACTCCTTCCATCGTGGCAATTCTGCAAGCAGATAGTCTCGTACGAAGGCATCAACACTCTCAATTCTTGCATTTCAAATAGGTAAGACAGTTTTTGCCAAATTCTGGATATCAGTTTATATCTTGATACAATTCTGATCTTCTAATTCTCGATATTTTCGCAACCAAACTTGAATGCTCGTACGAATCGTTTCAAGTTTATTGTTTAATTGAGATCGATTTTTTGGACGTCCAGAGGTGACTGCTTATGCTTTTTACATAGAAGTTTGTCGTGCAAGCTCAGAAACAGAAGATCGTTGTTCGTACGACTGAAATCTTGGAGCAGGAGGAGTTCGTACGGAGATATCTTCAGTCAAAGTTGTCTTTGATTGAGGAGAATCTTCAATCTCAATTACTGATTTTGATGGATTTTGAGCTTTGTATAAAGGACACTCAGGAAGATGATTATACGCAGAATGAGCAACTCCATTCTCCGTACAATATTTAGACCATCCAAGTCTCTGGATGCTCATCTTGATTTGATCGTACGAGACTTGAGAAGAGAGGATTTGAATTTTGTTGTACGAAAATGATTATGGGATGTACTATTTTTTACCGCCTTTTCTGTCCCCACTTTACATTTAAACTTGAATTCCTCTTTTATTTCATTTACAACATCGTACGAAATCATGGCCCCTACATCTATCAATCTAGATCCTCATAAGGATGAGATTACTCATCTTCTATTCTGTGGAAAGTCAATTCTTGATATTCTTGCTCATTTCAAAGATTCATACGATCTCCAAATCAGTCGACGAACCTTACAACGACGTTTGAAGGCTTGGGAAGTCGTCGTACGACCGCAGACAGAAGATACAACTGTTCTTCGAGATCGAATTACTGAGCTTTTCTTTCATGGATTAGATGAAGTCCAACTTCTTCGTACGCTTAAAGAGGAAGGTCATCAAATTGGGAAGTACTCTCTCGTACGAATTCGAGAAGAGCTTGGCTTGAAACGTCGTCTTCGTACGGCGGATGAAAAGGCTGCAGCAGATGAATTGACTATGGATAGTCTAACAAGTGAATTGGAAAAGGGTGTCATTGGAGGATATGGTCGAGGACTTCTTTATGCTCATTTTCAACGACTTGGAATTCATATTGCTCGGTACGTATTTCGTACGATGGTTATATTATACTTATAATGTTTTAGGAATCGACTCTATTCTATCTACCGTACGCTTGCTCCTGATGCAGTTGAACGTCGTATACGCAATATGCAACGTCACCGAGGAGAATATCTTGTACCAGGACCTAACTTTGTTTGGTCTATTGATGGATATCTCAAGCTTGCACCGTACGGAATCGAAGTATATGCTGCTATTGATGCTTACTCACGATATATCATCTGGATATACGTCGGAATCTCTGCTCGTACGGCAGTGAGTGTACTTCGACAGTATTTGAATACTGTTGAAGTTCTTGGACAACATCCACGTTTCGTACGATCTGATCATGGTGGTGAGACTGTTCTTTTGGCTGATGCTCATCATCAATTGCAAAAAGCTATTAAACCAGATCTTACATTTCAAGAATGTTACATGTACGGAACTAGCACAACAAATCAACGTATTGAATCATGGTGGAATCAACTTACAAAAGGACTTCTCTTTCGTTGGAGAGTAAGTAATCGTATGAGAGCGTTTTTGATTTACTAATTCTAGTATAGAATTACTTTGGTACTCTTCAACAAGAAGGACTCTTTTCTATCACCGTTCTTGCGGATCAAATTGCTCTACTTGCAATCTATCTCCCAATCCTTCGTACGGATATACATGACTTTATGTCAACATGGAATACACATCGAATTCGAAAACAGCCAAATCGTCCGAATGCTATCCCTGGCAAGCCGTACGTTCTCTATCATCATTCACCAGAGCATATTTCAAATTATGGTCTTTCTGTTGATACAGAACTCTTGAATACATTGCAAAATGATGTACATGACTGGAGTAAGACTATTTCATTTCGTACGAGATCTATTTAATACTAATCTCTTTTAGATATTGATGAATATCTTTCTTCATCTACTATGCAATGGTGTAATAAACAGTTACTACATTTGGGATTCAATCATTCTCAATCTGCTAGTGATCTAGTAGCTCCTCATCGTACGATCTATTTGCAGCTTCGTACGGCTATCAATCAACACCTTGCAAGTGGTTCTCTACCAGAGTTAGGAGTTTTGGTAAAACCTACGGGAGCACTCAATTGGCAAGGACCAACAGGGGTAGAGAATTTGCAGGAGACTTCTTTAGCTGGTGATGGTGCAGATGATGAGATTCTGGAAGAATAGTTTCGTACAAGTCAATTGACAGTATCTATTCGTACGAAGAGTGCTATAATACTGTGTACAGAGAGGTGTGAAGTTGGGATGGAATGATCGGCAGGAGCTGCGGGGGGCGAAATTTTGGATGTGGCGCCAACCCAATAATGGTCCGCCGTACGAGGGGTGCCTGTGCTGCAACCCACAAGTGGAAACGCGCCGGTAGGCACACCTGCCACAGCGTCGCTGAACAGAGAATCTGCGGCACTATTTAGTCCCTGAGGCTCACTCATGCGATTCGGAATATCAGCGACTATTGCTCAACGCCGAGTCTACATCGTACCTGTGTGATATTCCATTCAAGCTTCTTATCACGAGGTAGCCTTTTACCCCAGTCTCATCTGCTGTCACCTATTTGATCCGCGTCTTCTCTAGCCCGCAATGGCCAATGGGATCCTTACTCCGATCTATAGCTTAGCTTCAAGAAACGGTTTTCCATCCCTTGACTTCTCGAGCCTCAGACCATCCAGGGCCTGGACAGACTCTGCAAGGGCAGCAGCAGCGTATACCGGAGTTCACTTGGCATCACTCGCTACTACTAACAGTCGAATGAAAGTACTTGAGCGGGTTGTGGACGCTTTACATCAAAGCGGACTACCTGGTCCAGCAAGGCTGATGGACCTCCAGGAGTATCTCGGGCAAGGCAGTCAATTTTATGTATACAAGGATCACCTGCTGGTTGAAGAGGGGTACGAAGCATTCACGACAATGGAGGTTGCCGTTAAACAGCCCAAATTTGATCTTGATCTTGAGGAAGAGCTGGACTTGGCTGATTCGGGGGTACGTGAGCATGTGTACCACATGTACCTTGAGATTTTTACCTTGACCAATCCGGCGCTGCGAGTTCACCCAAATATTGCTCGTCTTATTGCTTGGTCTGATGTTGGATTAAATCCACGTTTAATGCCAACGCTTGTAATGGAACTGGCAGAATCCGATCTCGCGACACTACTCGCAGACGACGTTCCACAACTTTCACCTTCGCAGAAATATTCTTTGTGTCAAGATGTCGGGGCCGGCTTGGATGCTTTACATGACTGCCATATCCTGCATGGTGACTTGAAACCGAAGAACATTTTGATCTTTCGTCACGAAGGTTGTATTGTGGCAAAGCTTGCAGATTTTGGACTTTCGCTTGATCAGGCAGAATCCGATCTCGCCATAGCCTACCTTGGTGGGACCCCTGGATGGCAAGCCCCAGAGGTCGAAGTCGGCAGTAAATTAAGTTCTCATGGGTTGCTGCAAGCTGACAACTATTCCTTTGGACTGCTAGTGTGGAGTATTATACTGCATTCTGGAAAAGTGCCATCACTATCAACAAGAGAAGCCCGACAGGCCATTGCTACGAGAGAACTAAAAGATGCTAGGGACATCGTCGGACTCGAGATGTGCCGTACTCTGACAGATGCTGTTCAGAAATTGCTCGAATACGATTTTCGTCGACGCCCTTTGCGTGTCGCCGACGTACTTGATGATAGGCCCAATGACGAGGAATACGGGTAAGCCGATGCTACGCGCACCGCAATCTCACTTTCCTGTTGAGACTAACGGCACTGTCAGGCATGGTGTCACGCTGGACTTCGAATATAAATTCAGCACGTACGGAAGAATGCCTAGTCGTCATGCAAAATCCAAACGCATCTCATGGGAATTGAACCCTGTGCCGGATATGTTTATAGATGGGCTCCACCTCCAGTTTCTAAACGATTTAAGCAATCTTCCGGGAGACATACTTTTTGCCCTGTTTCTAGCCTTCACAGCCTCTCAACCCAGCGATCAGAATACAGAGGACCGAGCTCTTAACATATTGGTTGCTGCGGCACGATCAGGGTATGAGCCAGCACAAGGCATTATTCCGGCAGCGCACAAGTTCTTCCAGCTAGAACCACAGCAACATATCAAAGAGCTGATAACAGAATGGCTGAAGAGCGCGGTGGGCAGTGGATCAACCCTAGCAATACCGGAATTGGAAAAGCTGGATCCGCCGACACTTTACGACGCCATCAGTGATTTCAGGATCAATGGCGGATACAACAGATTTTATTGTGCAATCGATCCCTCATTTAACAATTCGGTGGCTCCCCAGAATAAACCGACACAGAGAAGCAGTTTCCGATACTCTCGCCTTCACTGGCTAGCCACATATGGCAATCTATCCGCCTTGTTGGACTACTTTAACACAAATAGAGGGTACGGAATCGATGACATGACAGACAATCAAGAGACTCCATTATACCTGGCTTGTGCTCGAGGGTCATGGGAGATTGCTGCTGAGCTTATGCGTCGGGGCGCATGCGCGTCAGTCAGGTGTACTTCTTTTGAGATAAGCTGCATGCACTGGGTCTTCGCCTTTGGCGAAATGTTCCAGGCTGAGGCAGTCATTCAGCTGAAAGGGCGAGGAGCTGATTTAAACGCACGGACTTCTACCGAGGTCCCATTTTTTCACTATCCGTTCGTGCTTCCAGCTGGCACTCCGCTCCACTGGGCTGTAGCTACTTCAAGCCACAAAACTATACAGGTACTTGTTACACAGGGAGCTGATTTGCTCATTCGAGATGGCTCAGACCCTTACGTTTATGATGGACGAGTCCGTATACTCAACGACCCCAAAGAACTAATTAAGGAAGAGGGTCCACCCTTGAAGACGGAAACGAAAGGTCTCTCACCTTTAGATCTCGCCGCAATGCAGCATGATCCGTTTATCTTCGAGCTTCTGATATCAACAAGAGCTGATGTGGATATCAACGCGGTTGACGAAGAAGGGTTCAGTGTCTTACATCGGTTGAGTGCAAGCTACATATGGCGAACAAGCGCTGGAATCGCATTTTCCACCCTACCTTTCCGAGGCAACAGAATCCACATGCGAGATGGCCTGATCCGTAGTGTTGCAGCTATCAAAGCATTGGGGGCGGACATGGAACTATTGACAACCCCGCTAGACTCAAAGGCCCAGCAAAGGAAACGGGTCTGCAACTTCCCAAGCCGTACGCCTCTCATGTTGGCTTGCATGAACTCGGCAACCGACGCGGTGCGAACGCTACTTGAAGCTGGCGCTAGTGTCCGGACAGAAAATGACGTGGGACAGACTGCGTTGCACTGTATCTCTAGAGAAAGAGCCGCATGTGTGGAGTGTGTTTGTCTCCTGGTCTTCTATGGCGCGGATATCAATCACTGCGACAAATATGGAGGCACAGTCCTGTTGAGAGCGGCTTTTGCGAAATGTTTAGAAGTCGTAGAGTTCTGTCTAGCTAAGGGTGCAGATATTGAGGTTCAAGAACAGCATCCACTCGCGATTGAAAAGGGCGAAGGCCCTTTTCACTTACTTTCACCGGTACGTTCAGATATGATTTTCCAAGACAGATGGGACCGAGACTTCTTATTACAAGATAGATGGGACGAAGGCATTGAATTGGTAGACAAGAAAGACCGCAACATTGTTTTACGGGACAAGTGGGACTTGAAACTGGCTCGCCTGCTGGAAAGGTATGTACTTGCTTGTCCACACGTTGAAAAGAAACGCAGGGTCATTGAGTTTGGAAGTCCATCCGGTGAAACGATCCTACATGTGTATGCTCTGTACGCCATGCAGCATTGCGTTGCGGCATTGATACTCCATGGTGCTCCGGTAAATGCAATTGAGAGGAACCCTGCTCAAACCCAAGGAGATTTCGTTTACGGGACCCCCCTCGATGCAGCTATACGGGGCAAAAAACGCAGGGCGAAAGGCCGAGAGAGCAAGACATTCACAAACTCTGAATACGAGGATTCCTGTCGGAAGGCCGATGCGGTAATTGATATGCTTCAGCGAGCTGGTGGTGTTTCAATTTCGGATGCTGAGATAACTAAGAAATGGTTTGTTCCTGGAGAGACCGATACCGAAGAAGTGGAATTCCAGAAACGCTCAGACAATTTTAACGATCCTGATAGAGTAGACTCTGAGATTGAGCTGGCATGAACAGAATTCTAGTACTGCGCGTTGCAGATTTCTAGCGAATTCCTTGACAAGACCCTCGAATTGCTGGCGCAACGGGGCGCAATTGCGGTGTGGATAAAGAAAGTCGATTTATCGTCTAAACCTTGTAGTAGAATGTTTAAACTTGTTCGAATTTCGAGACAAAAGATTATGATATTAAATCGTAAAAAATGTTTAAATATTAAGGGGTAGCAATATGGGAGGTACGCGGAGTTGTTCGGAGGCGGCAGCCCAGCTTGGTGGGATCAGGGAATTTTGTTAAAACGCCGCCTCCTGGCCCTATTGATGTACAGCTACGCGCAAAAGTATCCGACCAAAATAAATTTTTGCACCAAACCCCACTAAAAAGTCGATCTTTTAGGAAATTCATAGCAACTTTAGCTAGCCGTCAACTATCAAATTTAAAATTTGATATTAATTCAAAATTGATAGATTAAGCTTTTATTTATAGAAAGTTTAGTCTCAAAATTTACAGATCTTTAGTAGACTAATTAAGAAGTAAAGAACTCAAAAATTTTGCGAACTTTTATATAAGGTTCCATACAAAGTTTTTATCTTTTTTAAAAATTTTGACTTTAATTTTATTCTCCTTAATATCTAGATATTTTATAAGAAAATTTTGTATTTATAAATGAGTATTTTATCAATTTTAAATTAATATAATATTTAAAATTTAGTAGTTGACGTCTAGCTAAAGCTGTTATAACTATTTTAAAAAGTCGACTTTTTGATGAGATTCCACACAAATATGAGGTGTTATCGGATACTTTTGCACTAGTACTGTATTAGCTAGGGACGCGAGATTATGTAATGCCTCTCTCACAATCTCGAGGTAGACTAGTAAGCTGACAGGCCAGTGATCTTAACGTAACATTTCTTCTATAGGATACTAAGGCTTTATAAGCCTTTTATTAGAAGTTTGCAGCAAATAGCGTATAGAGATACGAATTAAATTGATTAAGTTACTTTTATTAAGAAGAGCATTTGCTCATACTAATAGCTATAGAAGCGCATTATTATAATAGCTTAGAAACATTATTTGGCGTTTAATTTGTATAGTAATGCTTACTACTATAAATAAAAGGGCGTAAGAGTTATAAGAGCGTTTTGTACATTTTATATACAGAGACCTCTGTATTATCCTATTAATATGTAATAAATATGTATTATATAAATAGAGATTCTAACACTCTCTTTTAAAGAGTATTATAGTATTCTGAATTACTCTTTTGAGACTCTATATAAAATATCAAGAAATAAGCTTTTTATTTTGTTAATAAGAGCCTTAATAGAATTACTTTTTTTAGATTTTAGATAACTAGCTTAGTATTAAACTATAATAGTTCTATAAATTAATTAAATTTAACTCTTAAAAGTAGCTTTATAAGGCTATTAATAGCTATATTCTTTATTAGAATATACTTTAGCTAGATAATTTTTTTTATTAGTTCTCTTTAATAATAATATTATCTTTCTAATATGTCTATACTGTTAAGCTCGTAAGATTAGTTGTTACGTTATTAAGCTTAAAAATACGGCCTGAAGGATCAGCCTTCTAATTAAATAAAGTTTGTGTTTCTGTCTTTTTAAGTTTAACGTAAAGTAATTAACTTGTTAAGGCTACAGAACTTCTGCTAAGCTATATCTTATTAAAATTTTAAATGCTTACCACAGAGCTATATAGAGTATATAAAGCTACGCAGGACATATAGAAACGCACAGAATTAGTATATAGACTATAATACAGGCTGAGCTAACCCGCAGCGGATTAGATTTAGAGCCGGGTTAGATTAGGCTAAGTCCTAAAATTTGGTAACCTAATCTGCTATAGACTGGGTTTTAACTAAGTTATATTTAATTCTAAAGCCCGTAAGGGCCTGTAAGCTTGTCAAGAGCCTATAAGCTTACTAAGGACTTACTAAGAAACCTTATATTTTTTATATTTTTTTAAAAAGTTACTTTAAATTTAATTTAAAACAACTTTTAAAAATAAATTAATTATATAATAAATTAAAAATAAAAACTCTGTTAGGATCATATGATGCCCTAACGGCCGGCGCCCTACCGCTACGCCAAAAGGCCGAGTGACAGCTGTGATGGTTAAGCACAACTGCCTTCACATGACTTATATATGACAACATCTATTAGAGGCTTGGCGAGCATAACAGTATGACCCCTCTCTATAGCCAATCGACCCCGATGGCTCGGATGAAAAACCAGCCGATTTCTATTTGGTCAGAGAGGATATATAAGCAGGTCCCCACTTAGACTAGGGTACGCGGTAAGAACCCTTGATCAAGTGTGAGCAGCCTGGGGATCGAACCCACAGCCACCCAACCGTTAGCTGTCACAATGTTAGGATCATGTGATGCCCTAACGGCCGGCGCCCTACCGCTACGCCAAAAGGCCGAGTGATAGCTGTGATGGTTAAGCACAACTGCCTTCACATTGTTAAAAGTAACGCTAAAACTGCTTCTGCTATCTATAGATGTCTGCACTCAATCAAAATGATTGATTTGGTAACTTGTACAGAAGTTGTATCCAACTCCTATCCAAAGTTCAAGTGCAATCTTACTCTGGTGGCTGATGGCGTTATGCCTGTTCCGGCATAGCCCTAGGTCATGTGACGACTACTGAGCTAGCGGCTTGGCAGCAATTCAACACTCCCCCTGCTATTCAAGCCGCACCTACTACAAACAGCTGTACGCGCTGTTGCAAGTAGTCGACTCGTGCAGCTCTTCTTCTCTGCTCAAACTGCACCTAATTGTCCCAAGTTAGCAGCTTAGAGAGAGGGTCATACCTGTCCGATTGTTTGCCTGCGGCATTGGCCTGCGCTTCCGCCTGCGGTCCTCCTTGCGGTGCCGTATGCTCCAAGGTTGTTCAGGGCGCTTTATCCAGGCCTGTAGATGCCACAGCCTTGAAAACAGCGTCTGAATAGCTTGCGTGGTTGCGTGGTTGCGAATCTGGGATTTGGCTGTACCGTACAGCCAAATTCACGTGACCAGGTTCCCTGCACCATGGCATAGAAATCCCTGCGCGCCAACAGCGCTCTCCCACGGTGCTATATCAGCATTCTTTGATTTGAACAAGGCCTATCTTAGTGCGGAATCATACGAAGGCGTCCCTAGGGAGTGCCTTAGTAAGTCCGTCAGCAAGCATATCCTTCGTTGACACCCAGGAAGTCTGAATTTCTCCTTCTTCTTCTAATTGGCGTACATAGTGATGCTGGATATCAATATGCTTCGTTCGATCATGCTGCTTAGGGTTCCGTATCAGCTTCAAGCAGCCTTTGTTATCTCTATAAAGCGTTACTGTCGCTTGCTCTGCTCCGAATTCGTTCAGGAGGCGTCGAATCCACACAGCTTGTCTTGCAGCTGCTCCTATAGCTAAGTACTCAGCCTCTGTGCTAGATGTTGACACTATTCTCTGCCTCTTAGACGTCCAGGAGATAGCTACGCCATCTAGTAGAAATAGATGGACGCCTCGCAATCCACAGGAGCACTGCTTGGACAATCGCAAACACAGCGTTATCGACGGTAGCTCCTCCCAAAAAGTACTCTGTATAATGTGGTTAACTCTGAACTCAAGGCCTATCTCTGCTGTCCCTTTGAGGTATCATAGGACTTTTCTTGCAGCCTTGAAGTGCCCTATGCGTGGATCTGCGCATTGCTAGCTCAAACAGCTAATACAGAAACTAATATCTGGCCTTATGCCACACGCTAGATATAGCAACTTTCTAATCAGCGTCTAATACGCCTGAATATTAGTCTCTTCTATATCTTCTTCTTCGTCTAAGACTATAAACGTGCCAGGCTTCATTAGTATAGCCATAGCATTATAGTCTGTCATGCCCTCTGTAGCAAGAATCTCTCTCAGATAGATAGTCTAGTCGACCCATAGCCGTCAGCGAACTCTGTCTCTTCTGATCCTCATCCCCACAATCATCCTCGCTTCTCCTAGGTCCTTTGTATCGAAGTTCTGCTGGAGAAGGGCTTTGATTTGGCGGATGGCTTCTGGATCCTTTGCCGCCAACAGCAGGTCATCCACGTACGTACTGATAATCGTTCTTCTATCGCTGGATATCAGTATGCTTGGATCTCCGTTCAGCGTGCTGTATCTGTTGGCTCTCAAGACGCCTACAAGCTTCTCTCTCCACTTCCTTGCAGATTGCTTGAGTCCGTACAGGCTCTTGATGATTCTGCACGCTCATTAGTCTCTATTCAGCCCTTCTCTAAGTAGTACTCCTTTAGGGATCCGCATGAATATCTGCTCGTCTTCTTCTCCCAACTCGCTAGCCAGATAGGCGGCAACTATATCCATCTGGTGTAGTTCCATATCTTTTGCTGCGACAATGGCGAGAAACATCCTGAGGGACTCTCTTCTGACGGTAGGAGCAAACGTCTCCTTATAGTCAATCCCATGAACCTGTGAGAAGCCCTGTGCCACAAGCCGTGCCTTGTATCTTGCTGGCTGGCCATTCTTATCTCTCTTGATCTTAAATACCCATTTGCACCCTACTAACTTCCGGCCCTCTAGCAGCCTCTCAATTCTCTAGGCTTAGTAGGTGCTTAGATTCTGCAGTTCTTCATTAACCGCATCTCTCTATTGCCTACCGTACACAGGGTCTGTCACCGCTTGTACGTAGGTCCTCAGCTCATCCGGCCCTAAGTAGTCCTTGTTTCTGTATGTTAATAGCAAACTCTCTCTCACGCCAGAGTACTCACTAACGTCTACCATATCAATGGTCTTTCTAGCTGCCCTGTCTAAGTCTTTGGAGTGACCAGGCTGCTCTACCTCTGTGGCCCTTGCAAGTATACTGGGACGCTTACCCAACCGTACTACTTCGTTGTGGCCTAGCTGTGCTCTCTCTCCGCCTGCAAGTGTACTGGGACTCCTCTTACCCAAACGTACTTCTTTCAACGCCGAGGTGACTCCTGTAACGCCAGCAGCCTTAGCGTCCTGGGCTCTGTGAGTGCCTCTCGCCGCGTCTATTGCAGGGGCGAACCGTCTTAACATAGCAGGATCTTTTGCAACCTCTACAGGGGTCCTCTGACTTATAGCAGGATCTTTTACAACCTCTATGCCCGACTCATTTGCCTGGCTAGGGAGCTATTACAGCCGTTGCTCGCTCATCCTATGCCACTTTGTGACAGACAGTTCTCTTACTAGCCATATACTTAACTCACTTAGTCTAATTCTCTTAGAAATGTCTTGGTCTTGTTTAATTAACTCTCCTCCTAGAGGGGGTATAGAATTAAGTGGATCTGTGGCATTATTAGCTTGCTTTCGGGGTCTACCTCTCTTTTTAGGAGCATCTGGTTGTGCCCTCTCTATGTACGTTCTCTGCAGAGTATCTATAGAGGGAGGCAGAGGGTGCTGTGTTAGGAGGTCGGCTCCCTTGCGTCTTTCGTCAACAGAGTATGCTGAAATAGCATAAGCGTTTTGCTGCGTAAGACTCTATACGCGGATTTGCTTCGTAGTTGGCATATACTTTATCAGAATGCTAGTCCAGGTCCTTTTGACGTCGGACTTCTGTCGCTTCTCTTTAGGGATATAAGCATAGACAGTACTGCTGAATATTTGTAGATAACCAAAATAGGGTATCTGGCTAGTCCAAGCTTGCTCAGGAGTTGTCTTGATTCCTCTTGCTGGTAGTCGATTTCAGATATAATTAGCGGTATCTATAGCCTCAGCCCAGAAGCGGTTTAACAGGTCACTATTGATCAGCATTAAGTCCTTCATTATACGAATAGTTCTCCACGCTTGCTCTGCGCTGCCGTTGTGCTCAGGGGTATAGGGCGCGAAGGAGCCAATGGATATGCCCTCTATCTTGCAGTAGTCCTCAAGGGCAATACTCATAAATTCTCCCCCTCCATCGACTCAGAGCGCTGTTAAAGGATACCCTGATTCAGCTACTACTGTAGCGTGCTAGTTCTTGAAGTACTCATACGCATCTGACTTCTGTATCAGGAAGCCTATCCAACTCTTCTTCGTGAAGTCGTCCTCTAGCACTATAGCATAGTGCTTGCTGCGGAAGGAGGCAGGGTAATAAGGTCCCCACAAGTCAGAGTGTACCAATTCGAGTTTCCTTGTGGTCTTTTGTCCTCCTTTATGATGAATCATCCGCGTCTGCTTGCTCTTGACGCAGGGCTCACAGATTTGACCGTCCTCTTGCTGTTCGGTTAGCTCTGTTCCAGAAATAGCCAGATCTAGCTCGAAGATGGCCTGATCTGTGTCTGAAGTGGCTAGATCCATGCCAGTAGACATCCTGCTGGCTTGGGCAACTCGAACATGGCTCGCGTGGCCGAGTCGACGATGCCATAGTTGCTATTGTGGATTCTCAGCTGTTTTGAATGTTGGTCTGCCTCGTACGGCCATCAGCATAGCAGCGTGGGTGCTATTGAGTACGAAAAGGTTGTCCTTGAGAGTTACGCAGGCGACAATTTCTTCATTGACAACGAGTGCCATATAGTCGTCCATATCCACGTATTTCACTCCATTTGACTTCAATTGGCTGAGAGATAAGAGGTTGCTCGTACAGGCCGGCGCGTATGCTACGTCGTTAATGTCCACGTAGCCGTCTTCTGTCTCAATTCTGACGGTACCAACTTGTTTGGCTATGATGGTGCCGGCGTTGGCAGTAGTAAATCGTTCGTTTGTAGTTGTTAGTGCTTGGAACCAACTGCTCTGGCCAGTGATGTGTTTGCTGGCGCAGGAATCGATATACCAATTACGTTCTTTATTAAGCTTGGTTGACTTTACTGCGTAGACAACACTATGAGGGAACTCTTGCTGTTTAGAGTCGCTATCTGTGCCATTTTTGGCTTTCACCTGATTAATGCAGCGTTTGGAGGCTGGCCGCTTTGACTCGGTAGTATTTCTCCTCTTGTTAGTGCTTCTTTCAGTCTGTTTGGCTAGTTTGCAGTCCCTTGCGAAGTGGCCGAGTTCATCATAGTTATAGCATTGGATCTCAGCTAGGTTCTTGCGTTGCCTGCTCCTGAATCTCACGCTCATAGCTACTTCAGATAGCAGGCCTGTCTTAAGGTCTGCATTGATTCGTACTTCTTCAGAAGCGAGTATCTGTTGAACGTCAGCTAGCTTCATATCCTTCTGATTGAGGATATGCTCCTTCTTGCTATCGAATTGGGTAGGAAGGCCTTCAAGGAGTTGAATGATCTGAATATCCTCCCAAATGTCCCTTGTGGGGTTGACAGCTGTACGAATCCGCTTGACGATAGCTGATAGCTCGCTAACGCGAGCATTGATAGACTTCTCAAGGCCAAAGGGTTTGTAATTGGCCGGATGAGAGAAGAGCTCTCGTAAGGACGCGTAGATAACGCCCTGTCCGGCTTGTGAGCATACGGATTTGAGATGATTCCAGATAAGCCGTGGGTTGTTAATAGCCTCAATGCCCTGAAACAGCTCATCGCTTACGTCCCTCTTTAGGATATAGGCTGCTCTCGCGGCTCTGTGATTATCTGGGTCGTTCGGTGGACCAGGGGCGATGTATTTCCATAGCTCTTTCTCTATCAGACGTAAATGGGCCAAATTGGACCAACGAGGCCAGTTTTCGAAGCCCTTGAGCTTCTCTCGCTTCTCGTGGTCATTGTTGTCGGTGGAGCTCATCTTGCAGAGACTGTAGAGGACTTCGGAGAGCTTCGAGGCCGTAGAGGAGTCCAATTGACTTAAGGTCCTAAAACTGCTGGGCGGATTTGGGACCTTTCGGAATAGGGGGTTGCAGGATGCTGCCAATTGGGATCTCCTTCAATTGCTTGATGCTCTGTTTGTCTGTCAGCGTTCAGAGGGTGCTCTCCGGGCTCATAACCTGTTGAATGTAACGCTAAACTGCTTCTGCTATCTATGGATGTCTGCACTCTCTCAACTGGTTGATTTGGTAACTCGTCCAGAAGTCGTATCCAACTCCTGTCCGAAGTTCAAGTGCAATCTTACTCTGGTGGCTGATAGCGCTATGCCTGTTCCGGCATAGCCCTAGGTCATGTGACGACTACTGAGCTAGCGGCTTGGCAGCAATTCAACACATACAAATTACTACTGCGCAGTCATGCCAAGACCCAAACGCCGAATGGACCTTTGCCGAATGGACCGCCGCGAATGGACCGCCCCGAACGCATTCCGCCAAATCTTGGGTCACTCAATCTCGATTCTGTTGCAAAGCTTCGAAGAAAGAAGTGGGCACGTCAAATTCGGAGCATCGTTCAGCAACTTCACGATATTGGAGTAGTATGGGGCGATGCAAAGCCGGGAAATATCCTCATCGACAAAAAGGACGATGCGTGGATAGTTGACTTTGGAGGGAGCTGGACAGAAGGATGGGTCGATCCAGAATTGGCAGAGAGCATGAAGGTCGACTTGCAGGCTTTGAAGAGGATCATTGAGTTTCTGAAGGTGTAGCTAATTAGCGTATCCATCCACATATGAACATTGCCTGTCTACGGAATAGAGTATGTTAGTAGAACACGGCCGATCAATAACTGTACCATAAAATTCGCAACTCGTCTCCAGCGATGGCGAACCTAGGAGTCGGCTTGTAGCCTATTGCATGATACATCCAAAATAAAGGCTCTTGGTGTTGATCATCCTAAGACCTCAAGAACAGCAAATAATCTGTGCATAGTCAAAGGAACGCCAGACATGATAGAGTACAATACTATACCATAATCAAAGTTGAACAAATTTAGCGCATTTTGGCGTTTCTTACTGCGCATGACATCACTCGGCAGTTGTACAGCTCGATAACCTCGTCCATTGCGAACTTCCCATCATAGGGATAGTCCTCCATGGCCCCATTTCACTGTGGTGCTATCCCCTCCGTGACCAGACAGGGGTGTAGTTTGTACCTATTGGCGCTGGCGATCACGACTTCATTTCGATACAGCGATTTTGAAGTGAATCGTAAGCCGTTTTCGTTGCTTGTTACCTCTATATCTTTGCGGAGGTAAGTTATCTCTCTACCTTAAAGGAATTTGCGTAATTTGCTGTAGTAGTAACATAATAAGTAGTTGAAAATCGAGATCAAATGCGGCTCAAAACCCTTATTTTACGCCAAGTACGCTAATAGGTACACTGGTCACGGAGGGGATAAAGGCGGTACCGTCAACCCCCCCTTCCCTTCCCCCCCCCAAAAATGGGGTAGATACTATAATTAGGCGATCTATTTCGAGTGACGTCCATTCCTTCTAACTTGTTCCTTTCGCTTCGGCCAATTTCCAAAACATCCATGTAAAAAGATGCTACATAGGCCCAACAACCGTTTCAAACTGCTTCGCTGAGGTTTTGAGGATCCCGATCCGGGTCGATATTGCCGCCTAGAACCATTTTTGTCCCGCCTTCGATATCGTGGCTTTCGCCGCCTAGTATGGTCTTGACTCCCTGCCTTGGTGAGGCGTCTGACCTGCGAATATCGACGATATGACCTGTCTTCTTCTTTTCGTCGATGTATCTTGTTATGTTTGTCCACAATCTCGGCGTTCTATATGGTGATCAAGGCAAGCTGGACCAGGCGGAGGAGATGTACATGCGAGTTAAAAGAAAATAAACAATATGCATATAACGACTTATACAGGACCTCTGTAACTGTCTTCTTTGCGATAGAGATATGTAATCGATCATGTTTTTACAGGAGAAACTAGCCCAAACTTCAACGTGCCCTACGCGGTGAAATTGGTCAAAGTACTTCAAAATTTAAGGCCTCCGTCTTCTCAGCCACCAAGCAGCTCGACAACTTGAGTATGTCTTAGTGCCTTCAGGCCATTTCTCTAAGCAGCTCCACTGTTGTAATAAAAACATCTATGTACATGATTTGACGCTACTTCACTTCGGTCAAAGCTTAAATGTTCGAGGTGATGATCTAGAACGATATTATGTACGACATTAAAGCCTTACAATCTAGAGGAAGCATATAGGTCACTTACCTTAGCAATTATCGACCATTCCATAAAGGTTGGCGCGATGTATCATGCTGTTTTAGCGATTTCATGGGACATGCAAGGTAATTCTATGCGAGAACTGGAAAGCCTAAGTACAGAATTCGCAGACAGTATCTTACTCCGGGCGAAGAAATGTCAATTATCAAATATGTATATAACAATAAAAGGATTCTAGGGAAGACTTGGCTGTGAGGCTCTCTAACTCAAGCGAGGAAAAAGAGTTGACGCTGGCATGTTATGATTATAATGTTGATGATAGAGCTATACATTATTCTGCAGAAATGTCTATGAGCATAGTGATATGTGTAGTTTGATAAAAACATAAAAAATATGGAAAAGAAGAAATAAAGAAATGAAGAATAAATAATGTGTTGAATCGCAATATAGGTTATTAGAAACATTTGTTTGGTTTTTTTCTAACTCGCTTAAATATCTCCTCCGCCTGGTCTAGCTTGCCTTGATCACGATATAAAAGGCCGAGATTGTGGACCGTGTCAAGAGTCGAGGTGTGATCGGGTCTAAGTGCTTTCTCCCTCCCTACTAGTGCTCGCATATACATCTCCTCCGCCTGGTCCAGCTTGCCTTGATCACGATATAGATTACCGAGATTGTGGACCGTGTCAAGAGTCGAGGTGTGATCGGGTCTAAGTGCTTTCTCCCTCCCTACTAGTGCTCGCATATATATCTCTTCCGCCTGGTCCAGCTTGTCTTGATCAACATATAAAAGGCCGAGATTGTTGACCGTGTTAAGAGTCAAGGTGTGATCAGGTCCAAGTGCTTTTTCCCTCCTAGCTAGTGCTTGCTAGAGCATTACTGCTGCTGCAGTGAGCTGAACTTGCTTCTAGAGCAGTTGTGCAATATATTTAGCTTTCTCAACTTGGTCATCTGCAATCTCATTAAGGAGACAGGCTTTGATAAAGTGATCGTGTGTTAGTCTCGCTACATGTGGTGTCAGCTGAGAATACTGCAGGTGCCCAAGATATTCCCACTCGTCTTAATCAATCAAAGAGGTAATACAGTCAAACGTATACCAATAACTATCGAGGTCGACCCTTTTGTTCAGTCCTGCTAATGTCTAGTCATGCACACACGCGTGTATACTGTATAACTTAGTCGTCTACTAAACTTTCACAAAGCAGTACTCAACCAGTGTTCTCATGATGTTTTCAAAGTCAACTGGGTCGCCGGTTGCATCAAGAAGCTAATCTGCCAAGTCGTCGTTAACGCCAGCACGGAGTAGTTTATACCACACATTTTGGTAGTCAAAGTAAGCCAGCAACTTGAGCAGCTTGGCCGCCTCAGGATCATCGTTCTCTAGACGAGTATATGACAAATGCCAAGTCGTGTATAGCATGCGATCTCGATATTCCTGAAGCCGGAGTGATCTTCGTGGATTGAGGTCCTATTACTTCTTATACTCCTGGAGATATTGCTTGAAGCTTAAGATGCTCTTGTGAAGATATGCCTTAGCTGTAGCCAAAGCTAACAGAAGACCTCCAAGCCTCTCGGCGAGACGACAGGCATAAACATCTGTCAATAGAGATCAGTACTCACAAGTATGGTTATTCATCCCCTCTTACTGACTTGGACATTTTGTCACTCAGACCTCGTCTCTAGAACTTGCAGGCCTTCATCAACATGCTCGAGAGGTCGAACATAAATTGATTTTCCGCTAACATAATCTGGCAGGTGCGTTATAATAATGATCGATCTGTAAGCAGTGTAGGGATAGTATTTTCTGATATCGAAAACGTCTAGGTCATCATAATTGTCGAAGATCAATAGCCATCAGGTGTTAGCTGTATCTGATAGCTATCAGCGAACACAGAAGAGGATCTGCTCATCTTCGAGCTGCTCGTATTCCGTCACCTCTATAACCCGTTCTGCCATCAATCGCAGACTTGTCTTGAGAGCAACCTCTGACACAGTATTCAACCAGAAGATTGACTTGTATGAGCTGCGGTGGCGCTGGGCATAGGCAATGGCGAGCTGTGTCTTGCCGATGCCGCCTATACTGCTGAGGATTATCGACATTGTTCTCCAGATTAACTGCCTTGCAGGATCTCTTCTATCCTCTCTAGCTCAGAAAGGCGTCCTACAAAGAGGTTCGGATTGATTATAGGAGCCTTTCCAAGATGCAGACCTAGCTGAAACGCTAGATAGATATTAGTTCTTCGCAGAACTTGTGCATATATAGCCAGCTCTTTCCAACAATCAACTTACAGCGATTATTTGCAATCTCAATATCCTATAGCTAATGAAGAGGACTTATATAATGCTGTACTTTCAATAGTATTCCGTGTCTGTGCCACCTGTAAAGCCAGGATAACTATCAACAGCTCCTTTATGTATGCTGATGCCACCGCTGCCACGTATAGCTGCTATCACGTGTTCTTGTACGAATCAGCGTAGTCACAGATGCCGCGAATAACAAGACACAGAAAGTCGTTTATCAGCCTGGCTGCTTCCATCTCCACACACAGGATTTTCATATCCCTCTTCAGCTTATCACACACCACTAGATTCTTGACGATAATATTCGCTGACCTAATCATGCTATAATGTATTCGCGGTTCGTTGTCCGGTCAAGTAAGGCGAGATACTGTTTGTTGTTAATCGCATCAGTTATAGGTCACGCCAGGTTGGTGTATATAGGATGTGAGAAACAGCTGATCGTAATCAGTAACATTAAGGAGCATCTTAAGAAAGGGTTTATTAAACTAAGTGACTTCCTACTCGTGAGTGCTGAGCCTGCAGCTTCCGCACGTTGGCACTCAGCACCGATGGCGGCTTGTTCAGCTGTCCTGTCCTCTTAAAACCCCGTCCACAAGTCTCTTCCCTAGATCGTATTGCACCACCCCTCCAAACGTGGCTGTCGGCTGGCTCACCACCATATCACCTAGTCGGATATCATCTTCACCCTCGTCTCCCGGTACTCCTCCTCTAATGCCCACCAGAATACCAAATCGGATTGAAGGGAAGTCGTTGAGTAGCTGCGTCACCACTGTAGCTGCCGCGTTGTTTCCGATCTCAGGCATGACTGCTACCACCACGTTGTGTCCGCTGATCTTTCCTAATGTATACGCATTCTGGTCGCGCCTGGCGGGGAGAGGTTCGTGGATCTCTTTAAGCATGGTTTCGACTGGAGCCAGCTTTACTTCTATAGGGCAGATGCATGCGACTGTGTAGTCGGCACAGGTTAGTGCTTGCTAAGGTATGTAGGCCATAAGGGCAGATAGGGCTTTAGATCGTGCCAGTAAAGGGCTACTAGCAGGCTTGTGCTAGTACTTTTAATAATATAAAAGGGAGAAGATCAGTTTAGGAGGATTTCGTTTAGGAACTCTATGAAACTGAAATCTAGCCTCGCAAGGCAAATTCCTAAGAGAAAGTGAACGTTACACACTAACTAAGGCTAGATAGAGTATTAAGCCAACTTAAGGATACATAGGCACAGAGGAAGGGCTAATTGCAATAGTTTTTATTAGTCATGGAAATTAGTAGCAGCCTTAATCAAGTTAGTCCTTAGAAAGCAAGGACTACGTAATAAGACGGTGCTAACGTAGACGCCTGAGCATGACTAGTGCTCTATAGCAAGATACGTCTAAATCAGTGCTAGCGAGCTATTTCGATCAATTCTATCTATATCTCTGAATGATATTCCTTCAAAAGCTTCTGTGAGCGTATTCTCTCTCTTGCTTTAGCCACTGCAATATTAAATACAATAAAAAAAGCTGTTCTCTATAAAATAGTACTGACCAGTGTTCTTATAATCCTCTCTAAGTCAACTGGTTCAACCGTCGCATCAACAAGCCAGCCTGGCAAGTTATCGTTGATGCCAGCATGAAGCAGTTCATATCACACATTTGGTGGTCGAAGTAAGCCAGCAGCTTTATGCTGATGAGTTACAGTGCAGTCTGCTTGTTCCAACCCCTGATCGAAAATCCAAAGTCTTGAGAACCAAACATTCTTGTCAACATTTTTAAGAGCTACGTGCTGACACTAGTTGGCTAATTCTTATAACTCGTTAAAGCTCACCACATCTTTTGAAGTGCGATCTTTATGGACTTTTTGAATTCGAGGAAATCGTAATATCCAATAATCAATGTCGGCAGATCTGTCGAATCCGGCGCCTATGATCTCCATTATGAGAGGATTCTTGAAGAGCTCTATTGGTACACACCCGAGACGAGGAGCAGCTCTGTGGACATATTTACGGATCTTGCGAAATGGTTCGATTTGCTTGCGGCTCTCGGCCACACCAGGAGCTCGCCTTTCATGATGCATCTCCTGTGGAATTTGTATTGTGAAGTGCCGATGACAAGACCTGGCAGCGAACCTGCAGACACATCATCTACTACCATCATTGACACTTCTGCATAATATCTGTACGGAACAGAGAACTTTATATCACGCCAACCAAGAATCGCAGAGACAATTGTTGTGAGGAGTTAGGTATCAGATTTTTGTTATTGTGTTATGGGATCAATTTGGATTTTAGGGACCTCTTATTATTTGACGTTAGAATATACATAGCACGGGAAATATTAGGAGTTACTGATGTATAGTGTTGTGTATTTTTCTATATTAATCGATTTGTAGGCGCTAAGAAGGAAATTCCTGCTGGCAATATCAATAAGAACCACCCGTTGACCATATCCACAATCTCCATTTTTATGCGTTCTGGAATTTATACGGCGTACCAGTCTCCATAGGGAGATTATTTGACATGTGCCGAAATTTTCAGCAAGGAGACCAGTTTTAGTCCTTTATATGTATATAAATATAAGGCGAGGAGACCAGTCTCGGTCCTCATGTCTAAGAATATAGATGATCAGTTCTTGCTTTAACATCTGGAGCAAGAGCATTTGGAGCAAGAGAGCACTCGGAGTAGGAGTCCTGTATACGACAACATTTTTCGAATATCGCTCTAGAAAGCAAACTATGGGGGGGGGGGGGGGTTGATGCGAAGACCTGGTTATGCATCTTATCGGATCGAGCTGGATAGGACTATTACGTAAGGGTTGTGGTCTCGGATCATCATATTGAATTGAGGGAGTGGATTGATTCCCTGGAGAGGTGTATTGATGGGAAGCAAATGTGTTGGATCTGGATATTTTGGTGAATCGGGAGGTTGACTGGACTCTTTTCCATGCAAAGGATGAACATATCAGAAAGGATTGTTGGGTCAACTTCTAACACGGTCAAATTCGTCGTTCGGCGTTCCTCATTGTCATTCGTCAAATCCTCGTGACCTTTGGGGTATGGAAGCGAGGGATTTTTGATTTTATATTGTATCACATTCGATTTGCTTCCAATGTACCGGCTAAATTAAGCACACGAATGTACTGGAGACGCGAATTGTCCACATAGTTATTAGCTTATACGAAGTACATAAGGGGGTTTACACAGTATAGAGAATCCCCGCAGCGCTTCGCGTAAATTGAAAATTGATGGAGGAGAGGGAGGCAGCCTCAAAGCTGCTCGAGTGGTAGTATGACCACCGCGTGTTGAGGGAGGGCGTTCACTCCAATAACCATCCATTCTCGACATCCAAATCCCTTCACGGTCCAGATCAAATTCTAAGTCCACCGAATTGACGCTCCAAGTCCGTCGCAGGTCTGACACCATCCATGAACAGGATATGGAAGTCTGCAGCGCCGGCATTGGGCTGCTCCTCTATCATGGCCACCAGAGTGCTAACTTCGGTGAAGAAGCAGTGATGCCCGTCAAAGTGAGCAACAACAACCGGGCCCGTAGAGCACTGATCATGTCATACAATACCTCTCTCATCGTTGCCTTCATCCATCTTTGATTGAATTTTGGCCTTGTGCTAATCCTGCAATGGAATATCTGTACTTTGCCTCACTGGTCGGGCTTTTGCATATGATCGCCCAGGTCCGTTGTTTCGTTTTCCTTTGCTGTGCTTTCATTTTGATCGTGAGACTTGATCTCCTCATCAAGTGTCTGTCCGTGACACCCAAGAAGCTCTCTCTCATGCTCCGCTTGCCCGTCCCCTGCAACATTTTGCTGACGCTGTGTAATTGAAGTAAGCGTTTCTGCTACTTCCTTTTGCTCGTCAGTGCTCCGAGAGAGCAACACCTCCGAGATCTCCGTTACGAGTGGCGCTGGGGGATTGGATACCGGCTCAGGCTTAGGTCTGGGAGAGGCAGATGTGGCTGACGAGTCTGACGGATTGGGTTCAGAGGCAGGGTCTGAGAGGTTGAGCGGTGGGGAGTTGCTGGTGGTGCTGATGTCGGTGCTGGTATGAGTGTTCGTCTGACGAATGTCTTCACTGGGTGTAGCTGAGGGTGAGCTTATGGCCGAGAATGAAGCTGGGGCAGCGGGTGAGACCGATGACTTGATCTTGGGATTGGATGAGGTATCAACGACAGTATTTTAGTGTCAGAGTTGGTGATGATAGGAAGTAAGTCTTGAAAGAAGATTGTGAATTGGAGGAGATGCCTAAAGGTATGACGGCTTCTACGAGCGCAATCCTGACGCCCCTTGATAACGCTCACTATTGAGCATCAGCCGCGCTGCTGACTGGCATCACGGGCCCCCGCATTCGCTGTGCTCATGTTCTACCAAAGGTCCTGCTTTGCTCGAGTGGCCTAACGTTAGCAGGAGTTGATTGTGCGTAAAATATTGTTTAAAAATGACGCCTATTGATGCACATTGGAAACGCACGATTTGCTTGCTCACAGACGAGCGAATTCCCGGCCCGCACGGTATGCTTGACCCAATTTAGAATAAGGGCACAGGGCAAAACGTGGACTTTGTGAACTATCTACTGCCGAAGGCGCTCAACCTGTACTTAGGTTCTTCATGCTTTCTGTCTTTAATAAAGTAACACTGTATTTAACTACTGCTTTACACGTCCTTTACACAACCATAACAGGGTTCTTTACGCGTTTTAACAGCTTCATCCAACACACCGCTACTGTGCGGCGGAAGCCTTGCTAAATATGGCAGAACTTATCATAGGCATTGTCGGCTTGGCTGTTTCGATTCTAAGCGCGGCTGTCACTTTCGCCCAATGTGGAGAATGTATTAAGAACCTTGCAACCAAATTTAAGAATACACCAGAAGCAGTTCAGAAGATTGGAGCTTTCGGACATGATTTGCACTAAGGCAAGCTCAAGCTAGATCTTGAGCTTGCAGAGTAGGGCTTCTCTATCGCAGACCTCGAGACATTCGTAAAGGATGCATTAGAGGATATTGTCGATCAATTGCGTGTTGCACTTATAGAAGCAGCCTCCACACTAGATGGCTTCTGCGACAAGAAGGGGAATGTTAAGCGTACCTACATTATTCTTTTTGGAGAGCGGAAGGCTAATCGAGCACTGAATGAGTTGAGGCGATAGCAGAGAGATTTTGAGAGCATTATTGATTTAATCGACAAGAAACGCTGTTTGGTTCCTAATAGTCTTCTCTTAGGCCGAGAGAAGTTGAGAGTCATACACAAGGTCAATGGGCAGGATTATGAACCAATTAGTCAATCATCTCACTTCACAGCTGATTGCGAGTACATTAATAACGGAATTCAGGACATTAAGGCCCTTATCGAACAAAAGATCGAGTCGGAAGACATGGATCACAAGGAGCTCGAAGCGGTGGCGTCAATCCTTGCGTCTAAGCTGTGTACCAATACGGCAAGACAAGGCATTCTTCGATGCCTAGGATATAGAGACCAGAAGAACTTTGAGCTCGTTTTCGAGCTGCCAAAGCATCTTCGAACTATTCGGAGTCTAAGCGCCGCTTTGGCAGAGCCCAAAGTCAATATCTATGGTGGCTATCCACTTCAAGATCGTGTCACACTATGTCGTCAGCTGTGCGAAGCAGTCTTCTGTATCTATACCTCTGGCCTTGTCCACAAGAACATTCGGCCAAGCACGGTACTATTGATATAAGAAGCATCTGGCACGCAGAACGCGCTTGGTTCAGCTTACCTTACAGATTAGTTCATGCTGCGAAAAGTCACGGAGCTTTCAAGCCGGCGGGGATCCAATAATTGGACCGAAGACCTCTACCGTCATCCTCGTCGACAGGGGCGTCAGCCGGAAGAGCGGTATAACATGGGTCACGACATCTACAGCCTTGGGGTCTTATTGGTTGAAATATCTCTTTGGGAGCCGTTCGTGCAATCATTGAGGGCTCCACTCGTTAGTAAGACATACGAAAGTAGAGCAATGGAGCTCAGCCTTGTCTGTGCCAACGAGTCAAACCTTATCAAGAAGCTTACGATGCCTTTAGTTATATTTAAAACTATAGTCAGTCTTGCAGAGACTGAAATTGCCCCCCGTATGGGTACTGCTTTTGCATCATTCGTCGTGCGATGCCTAAGGTGTTTAGATGGTGGAATTGATGGACTGATAGCCCAGGATTTCAAGAATAACCCTACCATGACAGCCTTGAAATTTCGCGAGTTGATGGTCCAGACTTTTCAAACAATGCCGGCTGCATAAAGACAAAGAAGCCTGATCGTCATGACCCAGACATCCAGAGATGCCCATCATCGCATCGGCATTGATATCGGTGGCACCAAACGCTAAATAGCTTCCTTGCCTTTGACCTCGCCTGTGTTCAGGACTGTGTATGAGGCTGATATATCGTGATTCCGTTCGACGTATTAGCATCGTTACTTAATGCTAGTGGTACGTGAGAGGAGATGAGTTATGTCGACTTAGTGATCAATCTTGGTCGCAGCCTCTTGCAGCATCTGATTGCAAATACTTCACGCACGCAGCTGCTAGATTGTTGTCTCTGAGTGCATACAATCTTTTGCTGACTCGACTATGTCATCGACTTGTTATGGCATATGTGAACTTGAAAGGAGATTTCGAGCATATGCACCAAGGCCGCTTGAACTACAGATGATGATCTTGAGCGGACCACATATCGTTACTATCAGCTACCGACGGCCATACGCAGACACAATCGACCAAGAGGAATCGTGGAACGGGGGCCGGATACTCATTACTGCCGCTGGAAGTTGATGCTAAATTTACTCCCGCAGCTTATTGGGAGTGCGGACTATCAAGCCGAAAGACAGAACTGGGTACTGTGGAGTAAATGACGAGTGGTTCTAGAGTATTGTCTCGCAGAGCGACATCAGGTTTGGTACTTCTCGTCTGGCCAGAAATCCTGTAATTCGCAGCCTGTTCCTGCATTATTCATGCTGTACGGACTACGGAGTACTTAGTTAACCTGTATTAATGAAAAGACAAATACAGGTTGACATGCTGATAAATAAAAAAGACCGTGAACTTAGTCCCTGATTAATTTTGTGCCACCCCTCTGTTTTCTTGCTTTCATTGTGATCCTGTTTGAAGAATATTGATACATAATACATAACCGGCTTATTTAACTTAGGCCTCACAGCTCCTGAGGGTGGGTTATAGTCACGTGAGCAATACGAGCATTAGACTTGGCGTGCCTCAACTGCCCACCTGCTAGTCAATCAGGCTGATGAAACCGCAATGCCAGCTTAAAAAAATATGATCTACTGACTATACAAGCGCAGCTTGGCTCACTGACTACATATTCTGTCTAGGATGGATGGGTATGAGAAGATCGGTCATCTAGGCCACAGTGCGTTTGGGAAAGTCAAAATGGTCCGAAGGCAGACCGACCAACAGGTGAGCCGATTAAGAGACTTTCGCAAGTATCACATTGACAAAACCACAGATCTTCGCATGCAAGGTGATCAGATTAGGGGTTAAGACCAGCAAAGCGGATGCTGAACGTGAATATGCTATCTTACGATGACTGAGACATCCCTACATTGTCGGTTACGTCGACTATCAATGTACGGCAATGGATGTACTCACAGCAGACAAAGGCACATCCCTGCTCAAAGTCAGTCTGTTTATGGAGTATTGCCCACAGGGCAGCCTGCAAGATTTGATTGACAGGAAGCAACAGTAAGCCTGTGGTGGGAGAACAACACATTGTGGCTGACAAAAATTCATAGAGCCCAAGATCACGTGACGGAAGCCGTCACCTGGAAGATCTTTGGTCAACTCAGCTTGGCTCTGCGATATTGCCATTATGGAATTTGTGCGAATGGAACACAGATTGGGGGCTGGGAGCCGGTACTGCACCGGGACATCAAGCCCGCTAACAGTATGATGCCCTTTGTGACGTCTCTCCTCATTCTTCTCTCTGTTCCGATGGAAGTTACTTATACTGATCATTGCCAGTCTTGGTAACCAAGATTGAAGCCGAAGAGGTTATGGTCAAGCTCGGAGACTTCGGGCTCGCCACGTTCGTGAACCCTGAACGCGCTCCCAGCACATATGCTAGGACACTTCGATATCAGCCACCTGTGAGTGCAACGTATACTATGCATCTATCGTATCTTTGACGTCTATATAGACTGATAGCAGTTCTGCAGGAGATTACTAGATCGCGTGAGCGAGGTATTCAGTGGACCAAAAGCTGTGACATTTTCTCTCTCAGATGTATTTCTAACAATCTATAACCGACCTTTTTCAGGTGTTGCATAGTATACTAACTCTTAGCTAGGCACTATTTACGCTGTATGTGCGTTGTCTACGCCGTTTATATATCGCATAGAAGAAGATGACACTTACGCCGAGCTGCCAGGTTTCTATACTAAGCAATTAAAAAACTGCGTTTCCAGATGCTAGGCGCTACATCCAGAGGATTGGCATAACGCTTTCGATCTAGTTCAAATCAATGAGATGATGCAAGAGACTAGGAACTATAAAGAACGGAAAGTCGACAACTTAGGAGTACCTAGGACGCTGCGTCAAAGCTCACTTTTAACACCAAAAGCTGATAATCCTTTTACAAAAGCCTTAGCATTAATTCAAAGTTTTAAGAATAATGCTAGCAACACGTGGGAGAACATGCTTAATTCAGGAGTAGAGCATTTGGGTAGACATAAGCTCTAAGAAGCAGATTGTATCTTTAACAAAACGATGATTTATTTCACAGAGGTATATAGTCAGGAACATACTCAGACCGCAAAAAATATGTACTGGCTTAGGCAGACACAGTATGCTCTGACAAAGTATACCCAAGCGGAACAGATATTCACGAGCGCGGTAGAGATTCGAGAAAGGGTACTAGGACGCGATCATGAGGACACTGCCTGGAGTATTCTCTGGCTTAGGCACACACAGCACGCTCTGAAGAAGTATACCCAAGCGGAGCAGACATTCACGAACGCGATAGAAATTCAAGAAAGAGTACTAGGACGCGATCATGAGGACACTGCCTGGAGTATTCACTGGCTTGGGCATACACAGCACACTCTGACAAAATATACCTAAGCGGAGCAGACATTCACAAGCGCAGTAGAGATTCAAGAAAGGGTACTAGGACGCGATCATGAGGATACTACCTGGAGTATTCACTGGCTTGGGCAGACACAGCACGCTCTGACGAAGTATACATACCTAAGCGGAGCAGACATTCACAAACACAATAGAAATTCAAGAAAGGGTATTAGGACGCGATCATGAGGACACTGCCTGGAGTATTCACTGGCTTGGGCGGACACAGCACGCTCTGACGAAGTATACCCAAACGGAACAGACATTCACAAGCGCGGTAGAGATTCGAGAAAGAGTACTAGGACGCGATCATAAGGACACTGCCTGGAGTATTTACTGCCTTGGGCGGATACAGCACGCTCTAAAGAAGTATACCCAAGCGGAGCAGACATTCACGAACGCGATAGAAATTCAAGAAAGGGTATTAGGACGCGATTATGAGAACACTGCCTGGAGTATTTACTGCCTTAGGCGGACACAGCACGCTCTGAAGAAGTATACTCAAGCGGATTGTGCATACCATAAGGCACTAAGCATACAGACGAAGGTACTTAGTGGAGACCATCCCGACACAATCCTAACCCAGCGGAGCCTCCAAAAGAATGCAAAGATCAAGCAAACTCCATTAAGATGGTTGAAAACGCAGCTTAATAAATAATAAAACGTATTCTGCCCGCTAATCGATTCTGGCTAGGTCTTTCAGCTTTTTATCCAGTCGAAGCATCAATTGGGCAAACCTGGACAAAATTCACTCATTTGCAAGCCGTGGGTACTAGTGAGTGGATGGTATGTCCCCTCCATCCCCAATTTTCCACAAGGCCACAATTAGGACGAATAAGTGCTGAAATACAATAAAAAAAGCTGTTCTCTACAAAACAGTACTGACCAGTGTTCTCATAATGCTCTCCAAGTCAACCGGTTCAACCGTCGCATCGAGAAGCCAGCCTGGCAAGTTATTATTGACGCCAGCATAGACCAGTTCATACCACACATTTTGGAGGGAGATATACCCCAGGGACAATCTGAATCGCACGTGACTGTATAGACGTGTGATCTTATCTTATCACGTGCTGATTCATCCCTTCCCCGGGGGGATCCTCCCTAGGGATTAATATAATCTCACGTGATCAGACATCCCTGAGGGAGTGTTTCCCTTCTAAGGAGAAGCAGGGTTCCTCAAGCATTGTGAGAATCACGAATAGAAGCCCCTTGTGAAGAGCAGAACTGACTATATAGCTACTAAATTTTTTTGCCAGGAATCTTGAAATCAGTCACTACAGACTAAGGTCTTATTGCAATTTACGCCTCTTGCAGCACTGTTTCGTGGCTTCTCCATACCCATCGTCGCTGTCGCCATCGTTATCGATCACGATCAGCGCAGACTAAGACCCCAAGGGAGGAACCCACATGCATCCGCAGTCGGGAAGGTCCTGCGGCAAGTATAGCCATCCCGCTTCGTCGATTTCCTGGAGGAAACGTCTTACCTCGTGTAAAGCACAGCGATAGTACCCTAAAGAGTGACCTTTCAAGCCCTTAGAGCGAAAGCCGCGATGTGCACTAAGGACTTCGTGGTTGAGAAGAGGATAAGCATTAAGTGTTCTCTGTTTTGATTAGTTGTAAACTCGCGCTTAAGATGGGGCACTTACCCAGAAGCTAGACTGCAAGAGACTCTGTGCCAGGACGGGTGATATGAAGATTGCTCTCTGCAGCTGGTTATATACCTTGCAAAGGAACAGCCAGTCCTTAAAGTTAATAGAAATCTGACCCTTAAAAAGAATATTGCAGAGTTGCTATAAGCAGGCAAGTGAAATTACAGCATAAGGATTAAGTTGTTTAATATGCCATCTAGATAATAATTAAATCGCGAGCATTTAAAGATTAGAAGTAAATCAATAGATAACTCCTTACAGAACGTTATTAAAGGTGACTACTAGATAATAATATATGCATACAAGCGTAGTTAAACTTAGGCAGATTAAATCAGGAATATAATGCCTAATTAGATCCTAGCTGTCTAGCTTAAGACTCTTTAAGACAGGTAGCTCTGTACAGCTAATCTGATGCCCCCCTATATCAATCAAGGCTAGCGATCTGAGATTCAACGTAAGGCAAATATAGAAAGAGCGCTAGCTAACATTAGCAAGATATACGCCTTAGAAGACTAGCAACCGAACGTTCCTTAAGGAGCTATTAATTATATTAGCCCTGATTATAGAACCCTTAGTACTGCTCAAAGTAAGCACTTACAGGCTATTAAGACCTGAGAGATCAATTAACGAACGCTTGTAAAAGAGCGATGATTAATTACACTAAGGAGACTTTTCACTAAACTAGATCAGTAGTGTCTGAAGATAAGGGGTAGGTAATAACGTATTAAAGTTGCCGTCTATAATGTTATTTGTAATGCAAATTCTCAGATATTATAGAGCTTAGTAATACGGGATAAAATCAAGGTAGGCTTATACATTAATTAAAAGCTCAAATACTTGTGGTAAATAGCTAGTAGCGGACTTAAGAGTATCTATGATAAGGCCGGTAAAGCTAGCTTATAATCAAAATTATAACTTAATAATACACTATTATAAGACGACTTTACCTTAGTACTCAGAGGCTTTTAGCTTTAGCAACAGACTCGGATAAAGCTACAGATTCGAAATTAGTAAGTTTCTCTTGTAGCTAAAGCTCCTGCTAGGCTACTCTCTAATCTTGCGCTTCGCTAAGTACATTTCTTGCTAGGATACGCAGGGAATATAGATTCGTAACGATCTCTTCCTTGTAGATGGTGAAGGATGCGTGATATTGGCAAGCAAGACTACGAGTTATACAGGAGGTTGAAACAGAAGTGGTAAGAGAGCTAGAGACAGCAATTAAGCAGATCAGACTACAGCGAGTAATAGAACCAGCTACAGCAAAGAACTGTTTGCAAACTAAGAGCAACCGCCTAACATCTTTACTATAAAGCTAGAGAGGAAGAGATTAGCAATATAGCTCCTAACACAGAATGGAAAAACAAACATAACTGAAGACCTCGACGAGAATCTTATTAGGAACCTAGAGCTGGCGTTCAAATTAATTGAGCATTCTGACGGTTGTGAGTGAAAGTGTTCACAGGGAGATAGGTTTGCGAGCTCAAGCTGGAACGGGGCTGGCTTTTATAGATTGGCTTGGAGGCGCTGCACTTATATCATGCCCTTACGTCTCGCTTCCCAATTTGTCGGTCATGCAGCTTCGTCATCTCAGTCTGATAAAGTGACACAATTGCTCTCAGCAATCACCCTCAGCCTCTATCACCGACTAATCTTCGTTACTATTTGGTAGCCTGGATCCTGCTCGGGTCTAGGCTAGTCCAAGAGGCATAGAATCCGTACAGTTTTTTAAGACCTGATCGTGAGAGGTGCGATGCCACTGATTGAACCTGTTTATCGCCCATCCGCAACCGCCAAACCAACAGAGCGCAGACATCGTCTACTGAGACGCTTCATCAACTTGTTGTTGAATGCAGCCTGCGACACCCGTCACCGTGGTCAGGGCACTTGGCGTCCATCCAGCGCCCACCCGGTGCTCCTTTTTTCGTGGGTTTTATGCCTGGCTCAGGCAGACACAGTAGATCCCAGAGGCACGCCACATGAAGACTCATTGATCCGACGTGAAAATGTGGTAACAGGCCATGTGCCCCCGTACCAACCACTCAGGGCAGTTCCTGCTTGGTGCCTGATTATTGTCGTGCTGCTGAAGTTGACCTGAAGTGGTTAGGTGCCTGATGAACGAATCTGGCTCTGACCAGGGCAGCGTTGGTATCCGCAAGCGCTGCCGGTTATTAGCTCGCTGCTACTGGGATGAGAGGCTAGAGACTTACGCTAAGTACAACTTCGCTTTGTTGTGCAACAAGGATGGGTCGTATTGTCCAGGTATAAGAATCCTAACATCCCCTAAGCTCTTCTCCTCTTCTCATCGTACTTTCGCCACGTCCTACTCTGTACGTACATCACCTCACGAGTCTAGCGTAGACGTTAGTTTCATGTCGTAAAACAGCCACATCCAGAGCATGTCGAGGTCTCGCAGACAGACGCTTCCGTACTGACACAGTACCCTGAAAATGAGCTG